AGAACAACGATACGTGACCTACATTCTTATCAAACACTGGCTGAAATTCAATTTATCACATCAATATTACAGGAGCGGATAAGTAAAAAGATATTCTGCACACAAATAATTAATAGGATAGGTACCTTCTTAATAAGAAATATTTATATGAAGAGCAAAAAAAAAAAAAAAAATCTTCGAAAAAAGAACTTCTGTGTTTAGTGGTGTATATTATTTAACAGAATAAAATATTTTGGAATCTTAATTTAATTTCATATCAACACAACAAACGATAAAAGTCAAAGACCATGAAAAATTGGTTATTTGGAGGTGACAACGGTTCAACAGCCACGATATCTAGGTAATTGACATTTAAAAAAATAAAAAATACATACGGTCGCTCTGTTTTCGTATTTTATGTTCGCCTTATAATAGTCAACATTGATCCCTTTTATTGTAAATTGTATTGTCCCAGATATAAGTCATAATATATTTTAAATTCGACTACTATTATACTCTACGATAAATAAATGATTTTTTTTTTTTTGATTATGTTCTACAATGGAAAAACATGAACAATGTGAGCATTTCTTTGATAATTGTACATCGCTATTGGCAAGAAACGAATACTGTAAATCGAGAAAAATAATGGTAATTGAATTTTTATTTATATTTACTCTTACGAGACAGAGTGTATAATTTAAGCTAAAATAGTATAATATATTATAGACTGCACCTGCCATGGACCGAAAATCGAATATGAATATAAATAATAATTACATGAATAATAAATTTAAAATTATTTCCTGTTTCATCCGTAAATGAGGAACTCAGTTTTACTAGATTTAAAACTTTATTATCCAACAACAAACAAGAATGTACTTTGAGATATTAAAATGGATCATAAATAATTTAATAATTTAATACATTTTTTTATTCGACGATAATTTCACTGATTTTAAGACATCGGTCATATAATAATTTCTAAATGTTAAATTTACTTTCTAGATTTCCCGGATTGATAATACATCGAATTGAATCTACAAAATATAAAATAAAATTTTCAATGCATAAAATAAAAAAAAAAATATATTTTTTTCAACAGCAATAGGAAGGTTTACATTTAATATATTGTTTAATATATTGGTTCTATATACTTATAAATGTTATAACATATTTTGATAGCCTAGTCCTTAATGATAGCACACACGTGCTATTAGCTTTGAGAAAAAAAACCATAATTCACACGTTTCGTGCATTAACAGGAAAAATATAGAAATACAGAATTTTTTCGAGCTTTCGGCTAATTTTTCTTAATATTATGGTTTTGTTTTCGTTTTTGTTGGTTAATGTAGTGTGCTCTGTATAGAATATATAAAACATCCTAATGGACTTACAGAAATAATATGCCAACCGATCTTATATAACCGTTACAATTTTAAACATATAACATACGCAAAATAAAAACTGAAAATATCATATATGATGATTTTAAAAACTGAAAATATCATATATATGATGCTAACTGATGATAATATTTTCCTTCTATATTACGATTTTAGTCAGTCGACATTATAACGTTGTAGTTCAACTATTATACTCAGTACCTAATTTAAAACGGAACTCTAAATTGTTTTCAATTTATTTAAAAAATGTTGGCATATTTTTTGAATTTATCGAACAAAGTCGAGGGAGGGGGTTAGCAGGTTCCTTGAATTTGGCGTTTTATAATGGTTTTTAGCTTATAAAATTGTAAATATTTACTTAAAAATTCTAAAAATTAGTTTAAAATTATTTTTAATGAATTTGCAAAATATTAATACACTTTTTGAAATAATCAGACAGTCGGAGAACCAACTTCAAGGACCTTTAACTTATACTGATAACAAATACGACTAAATATACAATTTAGATTATAATTCAATACAGTTAAAATAGCAAATTTAAAAGTTGATTTGAAATAAAATTTATTATATAAAAATAATTATTATTAAAAATGGTAAGCATTTTTTTTTTTTTTTTATCAAATTAATTATATAATATCATGTTTGCGTAAATTATGATTTTTTAGTTTATGCTCTTTTGTATCTGAATCATGTGCATCTTACTTTTTAATTTGATAAAAAAAAAATAGACCTAAATAGTTTTATTACCTAGCACTAAATAAAAGTTATGTAAAAAAACGTGTTGTTTAAATAAAAATATAAAATTATCGTTTCTTTTTTTTTTAAATATTTTTGTTAAGAGATTCAGAAGACTTAAAAACACGATATCCTAACACACGGGCATTGGGTGACGTGCAACGTAACGGTTATATTATTATAAAAATATCGTTATTGTGACATGGTCTCACGATATTGTATGATAACATATGCCGTGCAATATATATAAATTTATATGTATGTATTATATATATATATATATATATATTGCCGCAGTATTATATCATAATATTATTATAATGTGTTTCCGGGATAATAATTATTTTATTATAATACGGGACGACGACGCGTCAGTAGTTGTCGCTTCGGACACGCGCAGACCAACGACGAAGAAGGTGAAATCGCATAACCATAATATAATAATAAAATATATTATCATTAGTATACCTAATGTAGGCCTTCGATGGTATTAAACAGTGGGTTGGCGGTTAAATGCGTCACGAGTGCGTGTCTTAAGATGCATCGTTAGTAAATACTCGGTTATACTGGATGATATTTTTATTGCGTAAAACTCGGCGCGTTTCAATGCGTAGGTGCAAGAGTTTCGATTTTGGCGGGGCTTTTGGTCAAGCTCGATATAACATCTTATAGAATCGACATTAACAATTTAAAAAACCATTTCTTTTCTCCTCTTGGTGTAGGTCGTTTAAGATAACCATACAAATGTATTTTAAAAGCACATCATTTTTACAAAAGAAATCACCAATTGATATAAAATATAGGTATTATGCCTGTCATATAATTTCTATTATCATACAACTATACATAGATTGTTTAATAAGTCTTCTAATAGTTTCTGAAAACGTTTTGAATATTGTTTCACAACAAATGTATTGAAATATCCTTTACTATGTTTAGTAACAACATACGCCATGTATTACTTCAAAAATTCTTTCTGGTGTCTATATTGTGGTAATAAAAAATTTCATATTCAACACAATATCGCATAAATAATATTATAGTACAATAAAATTAATTAATTTATACTGTTGGAATTAATTTTAATTTATTTATTAATATTTTATGACTTAAAATAAAATTAACCTTTTGGAGTATTAAATTGCTTTAATTTTCAATTTAAAAGGGTAATGTCTACGTGGTTTCTGTTAAAAATATTGGGTCTTTTTACTATTTTTTTTAGGAAAGAGGGTCAAAATTAAAAAAAGATTTAAGTAATTTTCTTGATAATCGGTAAAAAACAAAAAATAAATAATTTAATAAAAAACGAGAATTTTTACGCTAAACATTTTTTGATAAAATTGATTTCTTTATTTTGTTATAATAATTCAAAAAAAAAAAAAAATTAACCGTAAAAAATTTGAAATTTTAACTATTACATTGTTATTTTTTATACATGTTGTGATTTTCAAAATATTTTGAATCTTTTTTGATTTATTTATAGATAGTTGAAATGTTTTAATTATTTTAGTTTTTTTTTTTTATAAATATCAAGAAAATTTATCAATGAGTAAAAATGAGTAAAAAACATTTTTATGCGAGTTGTTTATTTACTAATTTAAAAAATATTGAAAATGTACAGTTATAGTTATTTTTATAAGCATTTAAAGTTAGAATTTTGACTGAATTCGTCAAATTTTGAAAAATTACAAATTATTTAGTAATTAAAAATGTATAAACATTTACTTTTTTATTTAAAAATTTAATATTAGTTTTTTACCTATAACAATAAATAAAAACTCGTATAATGGCTGTTTTTCCTCAATCTATTTTTGTTTTTGTTGTATTTTAAAAACCAATTACCATTATAATATTTAACATTTTCACCATATTTTTATGTTAGCATTTCCAATAGTGAAATTTATTTACTGAAATATGCTGGTCATCTGTCTAGACATCTGACCTTCTCCATTCAGAATCGTTTTTCGTGTACAATAATTTATCATTGAATTCAAATTTATACACCGTTGCAACTCACTTAACACCTAATGCATAGTAAAGCGGTTACCACTTGCCTACCTATATCTGTAATACTACGTCTCGTAGTCAATAAATAACAATATATTTATTTTATTAGCGATATTTTTAATGTATTAAATATAAACATACTATCTTAATTTTTATTTTATATTTGTCTAAGTAGGCAATGCGGCTAGGTTAGGTTAATGACTAAAAATAATAAAATTTAAAATTACACTATACGCTCTTGTATGACCACATATTCAATGTAATTCAAAATTTAACTTTTACGTATAGCATAATAATTTTATTTTATACTAATAATGACAAATTAAAACATAAAAATGGGTTTAATTTTAACGTAAAGATTAAGTTTCATAAGTATTAAAAAATACTAAATCTTTAGAAATTATTGCAAATGAACAATGCATGATGATGGTTTAGTATTAAGTTAAAAAATATTGAGAGTTTTATGATTAATGGACTTGTATAAGTGCATTAAAAATATTTTAACGACAACAAATAATAATTCTTCTTATTATTATTTTTGACATAGTGTGCATAGTATAAAATATATTATGAAACCGGTTTTAGCCAACGGAGACGTACAACTAATATTACGACAATATAGGTAATATATACCGATAGCTTAGATAAATGGAGAATATGAATTAACGTGTTAGTTATATACACATAACATGTATAGGCGCATATCGTATCATAGGTAACAGATTGTTGTCCGGAAAGTCCGGACGAAATGAAAGTCATTTCGTAACGAGTCTTGGTGAACCGGAAGTTTTTAGCACTGCCGCCACCAACTCCTACCCTGGAGGCAGTGGCTGAACCCGACCGGCACGGTCGTCGTCAGGAAGTCCCGACTATCTCGTACCGTCAATTCGTTCTCGACCGTCGCAGAATTCAACGAGTGTTCTCGTGACATATCTAGCCAACAAATTGTACACACAATTTTTTTGTTGAAACTTAGTAGTTTTCAAAATTTTTATCGACATTTTTTACCTCTGCGGTTCCGATCTGGTCTCCTGCAATCAACGCGAGACATCGTTGCCAGTACTTGTCGTTTTGAGCAGTGTATATTCTATACATATTGTGAGTACCTATTCGTAATGATTTTCGTCTAACTGTCGTTAAACACATAGCTATGAGAATTTATAACCCAAAATATTTCGGAGATCAATATTAATCTGTTAATTTTAACTTTAAATATCTACGACTAAAAAATAACTAAGTTATTATACCTATCGGATTTTTAAAATATTATGATTTCTCTATTCTTTGCAGACGATTATTTGGATTATGAAATTAAATTACATTTTACGATAGTTCAAAAAACTTACATAATTTAATATTATTTTCAAAATTGTCATGACTTCAAATTTTGTTAAAAAAAAAAAAAAAAATACTTTTTAATTGACAAAATTTAAATAATACAGACGGAATTATTATTTAGCGATAAAAGACTTATTAATTCCCAATTATATAAAATACACACAATGGGTACGGTTGGAATCGTTTATTTCAGTGAGTACATCCGCAGCGACAGTCAATATGAGATTCGCGATAATCGGATTCTTAGTGCTGGTGATGGGCGCCGCCGTTAAGGCGCACATACATTTCATCAGACTGGCTTTGCTAGCTGCCATGGGACTGGCCGGCATGTGGATGATGCACAAACTCGCGCAAGATTGGCACAAGATTTCCTCTAGTAGACCGGCCAAGCCAGCAGCCATGGCCGGAAGGCTTTTGGGGCTCTGGAAGAGATCCATACCGGACGAAGTGAGTGTAAATAATAATATTTAATTTGTTATTACTGAGAATAAAAAAAGGTTTCAACAATAAAATCTTTAACTTAAATTTATAAGCTGACATTGATTGAACGAGTATATACTTATCAGTTAAATAAGGTATAAGCAAGGTAGAAATACAATGGATATATTTTTATTTTTTTTTAATAATATATTACATTAGATTGGCGACAGTGGTAGCTAAAGACCTTTTAGAGATTTGCGCGTAGTAAAACTGTTTTTCCAATTTTTTAAAAGAATAAGAAAAATATTAATTTGTACTTAGGTAATTGTTATTGAGCAAAATATTTTTCGCCTCATTCGCCTTTGAAGTAAATGTAATTTAATTTTTCGATTAATCGAAATTGAAAATAAATACATTTTGTGCAAGCACAATAAATTATCCTTCGAGTTTATCATGCGAATATCGCGTATGGGAGGTCACGTTTTAGTTAAAGTCAATATAGGCGAGTATAATATATAGGGTTAGAAAAAGTGACTCTAAACTTTTCAATTTTTATGTAGTATCAAATTGTTCAGCTTTGTTTATTTATTTATTTATTTTTATCATAATTAACCCAAATACTAATGGTAAAATCTACATCAGATTTCAGCAATTAAAACTTTTTATCTTTCTGATTCTGAGTGTGAAATAACAGATTTCGGATTGTTTTTCTGGATTCGATCATACTGACAGTGACAGTTCATTGATGACGTTTATCGATTGGATATGTAACTACTTAACTAATTTTCTAAAGTTATTTTTGTGTCCATAAAACGCATTTGTATAGGTTTAAATTGTAGTCTATTAAATTATGTCTATTTCAATTGATTATTGAAAATTTCAAGTCCATTCATGCATAATTGAATATTTTTTACTTTCATTATATATTTTTGAAATTATTGATAGGGTTTTTTTTATTTGTATCTAAAAGAAAATACGTACCTACCTGGTTGTTGTTTTTTGATGGTCTACGTAATTATAAAATGCTTCATTGTATTATTACGAATATTTGTAGATCATTATTCGGTTTGGACCCAGATCTGAGTAACACTGCTTGCGTATTCTACTTCGTTACTCGTTATTTATAATGTTAAAAAATAAAATTTTAAATATTAAATTTTCAAGTAGAAAATGCATGCTCTCGTAATAATAACATTTCTTGCGTTTCATTGGTGTCCTGACAAAGTCGGTGTGCTATTATTAAAACGCAATCGTATATTTTGTCTGGAGAACCAATTATTATTCAATTGTCGTCAAACATATCGGACCTCCGAGGACTGTTAAAAAAATAATAATAATGATAAATAAATAAAAACGTAAATAACAACCACTCGTTTCGCTTCCGAGCTAAATGGTTGCGTCGCCGAGACAGTTGGACACAATGAAGTAATGATAATATAGTCGGTCTATTGTTCGTAAACTTTACCAGCTACAAAATCTGTTGGGTTTTCAAACTGTATGCATGTATTATGTTAATAAAATGTTTTATTATTTAAAATCATTATACCTACACTGTCTGCAATACTATTGGTCTCTTTGGAATGACGTACGGCAACCTGTATATCCGTCAATATTTTTTATCTCGTTACCATTGAGTCATTGAGCAATAATTATAACATAAATAATTAAAAAACTTATGAAGACGATACGATTAATAACATTTATGTAATAATATAACAATATGAAAACAATGATCCGCGGGGACGACTATTGAAAAATTACATGAAACAAATTGTAGTCGAAGTCAAACATACACACCCGCATACACTCATGCACATACAAGTTTAGAGTGTAGAACGAATGTAAACGGAAAAGGGATTTTTTAATGAGACCCTTATGATCTCGTGCGTCACTTGTACATTATAAATATAAAATATTTAACCTACCGCCGACGATCTTCTGTACAAGAAACCATAAAGTATAAACGCGTGAAAATAATTTTAGTTTTACGTGTGAATTCTAAACACGGAGAACCAAAAATTAATTTTCGGTAAAGAAAATTAACGGTTGACCTAGATCATAAAATCTCAAGACTGTTTTTATTGGTGAGTTATATTTGTTCGTAGCGCACATACTATTGTTGCAGAGACCGGTCTGACAGTTTAAATTGAAAACATTTGTTTTGAAAAAGCGTTTTAAGGCTTACCTACGAGTGTGAGCAGATTTTCAGGCGTAGTTCGCAAAGTTTTTTCTCATATTATGATAATTAATCAGTAAGCTCCCAACAATTTATCATTTTTATTCTTTTGATTGCAGAAATCTATGAACAATTTTTTATATTATGTTCTGTACCTATGCTGATTCAAATATGTGTACATAAAATATAAAAAAATATCGCGTACACAAGTATACATATTATGTATTTATTGAATTTAAACCATTGGGTTTAGGGAAAATGGTCGGTTTAATAGAAGGTAATAATAATTGTGGATCATATAAAGTAAAGTTATAATTACACGCGATAAACACAATGTATTCGATAATTAAACATTAGTTTAAAAACAAATTTTTCATATAATAGCCTAATGAAAAGGTAAAAATATTTTAATACCATCAATTTTTGATTGTTATTTGATATTCAGCTTCATCTTGGCGTTAGTAATCCAGATAACTAGTATATCATATTAGACTTCTAATTATGTAATTTCGATCTCGGTTTGTTGTCCGGTTCAGCTGTTTATTAACTATATACAATTGTTAGCCTAAAATGGTCTATATAGGTAGAAATATTGTATACCTACCAAATATAAAAAGAAAGTAGCAAAATCCTTTTGTTGTTGTTTTTAGTTTTTTTTTTTTTTTTTAAGTAACTTGTGTTTGTGCGGCATATGTGAATTTTGTCTGTACATATATCTATAATTTTTAAAATATATATTCGATTTAAATATAAAAAAAAAAATTACGACAAATACAATAATTGTATTTAGAATAGTCTAAAATATGTAACTAAACCTAACCTGTTCACCATACTGTAATTATTGAGTACTAATATATATATATATATATATATAAAACAAATAATATTAATATGTGTTTTAATTTGTAATAAACGCGATCAACCATATCCTCCGATGTAATCTTGAAACATAATCATTAGCACATGTGGAGGTAGGTTTTTTAAAAATAATATAGATACATAATCTGTACGTGCAGTGAATTATTTAGATAAATGTATTCAAAATTCTAAAAAGTTTATCTTTTTTAATCTTAAATAGATAAAAATAATTTAAATTATCTTTTTATCTTTATATTTAAATAAAATGATTATCTGAGATAAATTATTAAGTGTATTTTATTGTAGTTATTTTATGGTACAACTATAAGTCCATTCTTGCTGTAAACGCTAGTCGTATTTAAACACCCGTATTTATAAGTGTAAAAGTTTAAAATTATAAATTTATTCTATTGTATTTATAGCTAAAATTCCAATTTTAAATGATCTGTTTTTTAACTAGATACATTTGATCAACTTTTCTCTATTATCTTGATAAATATTTTAGGTGTAAAATGTATTAAATAATAAGTAAAGGTAGTTATTATTATAGGCTTCATTTTAATAATAATAATAAGTACTTAAGTATTTATGAATAATCTTCAATACGAATAATGTATGTCGATTCGAAAAAATAGAAGTGTTTTAATGAGATCCTAATAGACACCTAAAATTATTAATTATTTTAAAATCCTGGGCTATATTATTAATAATTAGGTATAACTTGAATTTATTTTTTTTTTATCTCTATGTTATATACCATTAATGATAGTTTAATCAATTATGGTTGAATTTTATAAAATGCAACAAAATTTTTACAATAATTAGGTAATTTAAATTTAAATTGTGCTAAATAGACAAGAATTTACTATAATTATATTAACTATAAGTGATAGAACTTGCAATAAATAAAATCCTTAAAATATATAATAATAATTTTTAAAATAACATTGTGTTAAAAAAAAAAAAAAGTAGAAAATGTTTAAATATTACATATCAAGTATTTGTTAAAACAATATAAAAATGAATAGATCTTATTTAATAATTTATAATTAACTAATAAATAAATAATCAAATATATTAATATATATATAAATATTTAATTAATACAGTATTACAATTTATGAGTTTTATATGAGTTCGTCTGTAACAAAAACAAAATTAAATGAAGATCCTATAACTTTTAATTATTTTTGCTTAGTATAATATTATGGAACCTTCAGATATTTTCCAATGTCGTTAGATTTGATTCGTATACACAGATATAATTAGTCAATATATATTTCAGTATAGAGAAAGAACGTACAATGTTGACTGAAATAGATACTTGATAAAATATACCAAGTCGCTACTAAATGCATCATTAGGTAATTCTTATAACGTTAATTTTTCTATTGATAATATTTTGGAAAACACTATATTGACCAAAAATATAATTTTTATAAAAATAGTAAAATGCAAAACATATACATTAATATACTAATCAATTTCAATTTTTTCCCCCTAAAGTATTATGGAAAATGTAAAAATATATAAGTACAAACAAAATGTTGTAGCTATATTTTCATTTTTTATCTAAAGAAATCTAATTATATCTTATCTTAAATATTCTATAGAATTATAAAATAGACACGCAAATCCAAGTTCTGATCCATATAATAAACTCAGTGATTACTATAATTTTTATTTACGTGGTAAAAATAGCGACCAGCACTATTTTAGTAGTAACCTACCACTACATTTAATAAAAAAAATAAATAAAAAATACTGTTAAAATAAGAATTTTCAAAAAATAATATTTTTAATTTTTATTTGTATAGATAAATATCTTTCATTTATGTTAAAGATAATTTTGAACATTATACCCTATACAGGGTTAAATATTTAGTCCTTACTTGCAAACTAAAGAGAGTGATGTGTTTGAATTTATTGTTAGTTATCAAGTACGAGGAATATATATATATATATATATATATATATATATATATATATATTGATTTTTATTTGTTTATAATATTATATCGAAGTACTTATTTTAATAGAAAACGTAATTATAAATTTCGATAAAAAATTTTCAATAATATTTTCAAATTTATGTATTCATTTTCTTTACGGATCTGTATCCTCTTCAAACACGAGTAATGCGTTTAAAATTTATAAGAGTTTAATTCTTAATTTGGAGATCAAATAATGTTTCGAACAGGCAGTTATAGTCTATAGATACTTTAAAAGACAATATGTAGAATTCGAAACTCTAAACATACTACAGAAATTTATATTTTAATTAAAAAACAAATTACTTAATTATCCGATGTTTTTGTAAAGTTGAAATAGATAAATTGAATAGATATTTTTCTTTATTTCTATGATTTTTAAATAATTATAATTCTTCGAATTTAGGAATGATAAGTAAACAAATCAAAAGAACAATATGAATAATATCGAATATTTACGAAATCTATTACTAGATATGAGGCTATGTATGTGTAGGTGGTAGAAAAACCTGAAACTAATTTTCTGATTAATTAGATCATATTATCCATATATTCTATAAAATAATTGTTAATTATGTTTTAAATTAGAAAAAAATTGAGGATCTAAATTACACATTTGCAGTTATTATCGATTCTATTAATACAATTAAGTATGTATAAACAATAAAATTATTGCTGTGCGAGAGAAATGTAAGATTTGATTTTCAATTATTTCATACTGCTTTAATATTTGTATCAACGTAATAATAAATTAGTTATATATGATAATAAATTCATGATGTATAGTACTGTATACATCATACGATTTCATCATTATTCATGTTCAAATTCACTTTCTTTCACCTCAATGCTCAATGGCTCTAGAAGTATTATTTAAGAGTGTCAAACCTAATATTAATCATACAGTTTTTTTAGTGTCGCGTACTCGTGTCACGCCATAATACATTTCAATATGTATACACTTTAATACTACTAGTATATAGGTTACGGAAAAGACATACTGGGTGATTCATTTAAAATTTATTTTAGTAATGACGTATTTTTTATTTTATTTATTTGATATTTAGAAGCAGAATAATTGCATAATTATTTTGATATAAATATGAAATTAAAAATAAATAAGTTGTTCTTAAAAAAAAAAAAAAACAACTACAACAGATAAATAGATAAAAATAACATGTTTTTATAAAAATGTAGTTTTACTTAAAACTATAAGTATAAAATTATTTTTATTTTTCAAAAGCATAACAATTGATTTGTAATATTTTATTGTATTCATGGAAATGTATTTTTCTGCACATTAATTAGACGTAGATAGTCACTATAGTGAGGTAAACATAAAAGGCGCAGGGAAATTTTAAGGGTGCTAAGGGTTACGTCGTGACAATTTTGCTATGCACAAGAAAAAACAACTTAACCATATCCTCATTATTCTGAATTGATTGACGTTGATTGCAGGTAGCACATACCTTGCCGAATAGTTAAGTACGTCAAATAATGTCGTGTTATTAATCCCCACTACATTATTTTGTGCGCTTATCGATGCATTAAATATTATATGGACAAAGTTTTATTTCCAATTGAACGCACAGATTTGTATTAAGGCAGTAGACAGAGGAATAAATTTTGATACAACAAAGAGTGGTGGTTATATTGTAAATTATACTGACAAAATTGGTACACTAATATTTACATTTCTTTTGAATACTTTTTGGGCTGTCGGTTAAGTGTATCAGTCGTATGTATACAATAATGATTAATGGATAAAAATTAATTACTGAAAATACGTATATTGATCGTCAATGAGTTTATTGTGAAAAAAATTGATAAGTAAGAAAAGTTATGGTCAGTATAATATAATTAGTTTTAAAGTTTAATACTAATCGTTATTCAATAATATTTTAAAAATAAAAATTGTTTAAAACGTAAAAATATGCGTTCGTCAGTACTTATCGATATTATAGAATGTTTAAGTTAAAAATAATGCATGATACCTATCTAAAAAGGTTCTCAATTTTAAAAAAAAGCAAGAAACCAATTATAATAATTTAATATATTATAATATGAGCGGTGTCGTTAACTATGGAAATACTGAGACTTTTTCTCCGGGGTTATTAACAATATTTTTTAGATAAACTAAATTAAAAAGCTCAATTTACCACCATTAGTTATCCTCACTAAAAGTTTATTTCATAAAATATGGACAGAATATAATATAAATATATAATATAGGTACATCGCAGACCTGTGTTGATTGTTGTAACTCGTCTTAATTCATTCGCCTCAACGCAATCCTGCACGTGCTCTTTGATTTTTTTATTTAATCGACGAAAAACGAAACGTTAATTCTATTCGGCTTATCGCTGTAGAGGTCAGCATTAATTGTTCAGTCCACCGCTTTTCCATTACGTTTTATTTTATTTATTTATTTTTTTTAATCCCATTTCAATTACGGTATAATATATTAATATATAGATATAGACTATACATATAGTCCCATCTTGTTCAGTTCGGATGATTAAAGTTTATTGGTGACTTCGATCTGAAATGACTCTCACTATAAATCCTTCATAATTACGTTTACAATCTAAAACAATAACTAATATTACGAAATTATGATCATCATAATTCAGTTTAATAGCGATGTGTTGGGTAGACATGGAAGCATAAAATTTTTGGGATGTAGACGTATAGTGTACGAATAAAAGTCCTGTTTATGATTTTCTAACAATAATTATATGGTCGCGTTATTTTATAGCCAATTACACGCAGCAAAATACCCAATCAATACCTATTACAATGTTTTATACGTATGATAGGTATCTTACAGTCTTTTAAAAGTACAGATATAAATATTAGTTTTGAAAAGTATTTAAAATACGTATTTGAACACTCAGAAAAAAAATTAATTTGAATACTAATAAAAATACATCATAAAATAATTTATAGGTTATTTTAAAAATGAAGTATAAAAACTCTGGAAAATTTGTTATAATATACTTTTATTTAGACTTTGGATTGTACTTTTTGACTCAAATCATATTAATTTCTCAATTATTATTTTTAAAACGTGATTGAATTTGAAATATCAAATGTATGAACTATAAAGAAAAATTATTTAATAGTGAGTATTTGATCTTAAATACAGTTACTTTAAGAAAATATTTAAAATAATTTGTCCTGATACTACTACTTTTTTAAATATGTATTTGATTATTTAAAAGGCTTTTTGGATGTTTTTACTGGAGTACTTTACACTACTAGTACTTATATAACGTAGTGTACCTAGTAAATTGTATGAAATGTGATTGATAATCATGAAAGACATATAGGGAACACTAATGGTTACGTGTTATATTCTACGATAACGTAAATTCGATGATTTGCGGTATATTGATTAATACGATATGACATTCTTGGGCTCGGAGAAACTTTCGCAAGCCGCACACATGGATAGGTACACATGTTGTGTAACGTTATAATTATAATAATTAAAACAAAATCAAAGTCGTAGTTATTATGATTGTAAACAAAAAGTGGCTGCGGTTAATATTCAACGATGATCATTAAAAGAAAAGCTCAAATCATTTTACGTCTCATTATGATTTTACATTTATCTCGTACGTTATATAAGACACACGTTCGCGTAACAATATCTATCTCGCATTTATAAACAATTAATAATTATCATGCAATAAATATATTTGTTTTTGATGATAACTGGTGAGTAGGTAGTTATCCTTAAATATCTAGTATTAAACTTAGTTTTTTAAATGCTATTTTATTGGCTTTTTAAATATTAGTATTTAAATTTCTAAAAATATCAAATTGACGGCTAAATGGAAATACTTTAATTTGCTATGTTATTAATTTGTTATCAGTTATTCTAATAATATGCCCATACTTTAACGCATGTATTATGATTTATAATATTTGTATTAAGTTAATTAGAACTACCAGTACATCTTATAAGTGGTGTGTTGATATTACAGGGAATTAATTTTAATCGAGGCTATCTAACAGTTGTTCATTTAGTTGATCATTATTTATTACATTAAATAATCAATTTCATAGCCAATTTTATTTTAATATATTAATAATAATATACTTACTTAGTATTTGTATTTATCTAAACATTTTTCGAGATATATTTAAGTTATATTTGAAGCATACTTTTTAAATAAACCTATCTTTATTTAAATATAATTAAAAATAACTTTTATAATATTTTAAACGTTCTTAGATATATTTAATATATACAATTTACAAACAAAACAAGAATAAATTAACCTTTATGAACATGATTTTAACTTAATATATTGTACTTAAAATTCATTTAAAAAAGTTATGGATATTATAATTTATAACGGATACTTGAACTATTTAAAAAAAATTAGAAAATTAATTAACTAGTCAAGTTAACATTTTTGAAAAAAAAAATAACTTTTTAACCAGTTAATGCCTATATTTTCTAAAAAGAATATACTGTAAATAATTATTGTTGTTACTATACCTATGAATGTCGACTTACTTCAATATTGATAATAATTATTATGCATTATATATTATTTTTTATTACAATTTCGACCCTTCTCATTTTACAGCACGTCAACGCATACGTCGAAGAGTCACTGGCTGATTTCTACAAATTCGACGAAATCCTTAGGCAAGACAGGTCGACGTGTGCGAGGAAAATGATATGTCAAATCGCGGCTACGCCTGAAAATCAGCTCAATAAAGTGGAAACTAATCTACTCAAGTTGCTTAGGTGAGTTTTCGATAGTGTTTGCTATGTATATAATATATATATATATATATATATATATATATATTATGTATATTATACTAACCAAAATTAATATAAATCATAACGCATGATAGGACAATAATAGTAATAAAAAATAAATTATATGCGCTACGACGAATAAGAAATAACAGATATTAGAAGTGTCACGATTTTTTCAAATTTAATTGATACATTTACTGATTATATAATTTTAAAAATATATACTTACGTTTTCAATTGAGTTAACTTAATATTGTAGCGTTAAGGAAGAACAAAATAAATACAACATAAACAATACATGTAAAAAACACAAAATATTGTAAAAATGTAACAGATATTGTTATTGATAAAAATGGGAGTTTAACTTAACATGTACATAAAATAATATATATATATATATATTTGTTCATTAAACTATAATTTAATATATACCAGATCTATATTGGTTATTATATTGCAATTCGATATTTCATTAAAAGTTTTAAAAAAAAATTACGAAATGTTGTCGTTGGTACAAAACAAAAGCCATCAGCTGTTTTAAGTGATATTGTATAGGTAATCGATTACTTTAGTATTATACTCATTATCTAATTGTTTGCAAGAACGGACTAATTTTAGGTAAAACAGGTTGGGTTCGTAGGCTTAATATAATTGTATATTTGTCTGTTTATAAACAAACAAATCCGAATAAAACTTATTAAATGGCAATAACAATGAAATATCATTCGGGTATTTGCGTGTATAAGAAAAATTTGCAATTATTGAAAATAAATATATATATATTATAATTGTATATTTATATACAGTGACTTTTCTCAGTTTTCCATGCACCTATGCACACTTTATTATTTTTTTATTTTTTTATTTTAAAGCCTCGGCATCTAGGGCCATTGGCTACTACAAATTTATGGGGTTACATTGGAAGGTAATTGCTTAATATTAATACATATTATTTTACAGAAGGTTGATTAAATTAGAATTGATTATAAATTATATCGTGTTTTGAATGTTGGCTGGCTGAAGGGCTTCGGCGAGAATGGATGGTACTCCATCATATTATATATTGTAATACAAATGCTATATCAGAGTTATGATTTTATTTTAGGTATATATTTCATAACTCATCAAATTATATAAAATATGCAGAATTATTAGAATTACTTGTGTTCTGTTAAATTGTTTGCATTCAGTGCGTTTTATCCAACAAACCATTTGGATCGATAAATAAATGAGCTAGTGCGGTTAATAATCGTAGTAGTATTTAATAAAATATTTAATTATTTATTTTCTGATTTTCGGTTCCATGTAAATTTTTACATACCAAATTATTTATTAAATTAAATTTTATTAAAATTATCAAATATTTTACTACGTCATCAAAATACGTAATTTGGATTTTCAGATATATTCAACGATGTGGATAATGTGTAGCTCCGTTGTATTTTTCTAAGCATGTTTCGTTTGTAATGAGTTATGTGCGTTGTATCTACTTAAAGGAGTGCATAAATATAGGCGGCTGAACATGTCATAATAATATATTTATTCATAGAAACTAAGGATAAGAGGCAAAAGACCGTAAAATAAAAAGGGGAAAAAATCGAGTAAAAACACTAAACAAGTCTGTGTTAATTTATTACGACTAAAGGAAAAGTTCCGAGTTTGAATTGCAAATATAAAAATGTCTAATTTATAAAGATAATTAGACCACTACATTTTATATTTTTATGAGCGCTACATAAAGTAACGACTATAAAGTAGGTAGGTACCTGTGCTTTATCAGCACGAACTAATTTCGTTTTCGTTTATTGTACACAACGCTCGCCTTCGATAAGAACTGTAATTATTTATAAATCAAAGTTGTGTCAAACATTGAATTGCCATAATATGGTCGTTATTTATCTCATATTCGTATTCCCACTATGTAATTATTATACACAAAATCGATCTTGGCACTTAAATTTATATTGATTGAAGTTTTCAGTGTATATATTATATATTAATATATTTTTACGCTATTTAAAAGTATTAAGTTTAATCGTAGGTTTTTTCAGAGCACAGCGTGTACGATGTAAGATTGTAATGATAATTCGATTATCGCATAGGTCAAAATAAATGTTATTAATGTTATTAGGTATTTTGTTTTTTTTTTTTCGTAAAATAAGCCTAGAACCACAAATCGTAGCAATAAATGTACGCTATTTATCGAGCTTATAAATAACAGTAACAGCAGAGTACAATTATAAATCGCTGTAATACCAAATACTTTCTGTGTTTATTTGGTTTGCTAATTTGAGATGGATGTAGATCAGCTAAAAACTCGAATAAAATATAAGTGAATAGAGAACGGTTTTGAGGTGTGTAATACATACTGTGTATATTTTATAATATTATAAAAAAATATAGTGTCGTGCATAGTTGTTAAACGCAAACTATTTAGGTGGGTATACCACTAAGATGATTTGGAATTATAGTGTTATATAATAATCCTAATACAACATATCTTGTTAGGTAAGTAATCAGGCCTTTTTGGGAAACAAACACTTGTAGCCATTCATGGTATACGCATCGATTTGAAGTTGGCACATGCCATCCGTTCCGAAACGTTTCTGTCTTAAGTTTTGGTCACTTTATTTGCTAACATATTTTTGCAATAATGATGTTAATATTAATTTTGTTTGTTACGTAATTATTGATTTTTTTATTGTAGTATTTTATTGTTATTGTGTGTTCTGAGGGTTTTGGCTTTCAGTAATACCATAACTTTAAATTATGTACTAGAATGAAAACGAATATAATAGTATATGACCTGTAGCACGAAATTGACTGAAGTTGACGTTCGACAATAGTATTGCAATGTTCATTAAATTGTATTACAACGTCTCCTGCGGGACAATATAAATCGCAGAATGTGCATGATGATAACTGATTTCGTGTCGTTATTATTGAAATTTTGTTTTATACGAATTGTCAATTTTACAACGAATCAAAACGTGCACCTAACCTAAGCCGTGACAGGCTTTTTTATTCGCATAATCGCATACCAGAATATTCACAACCAACTGATGAAGTGTACGAGTTCACGTTTATTGGTAGCGTGACGATTTTGACAAGTGGTAACGAAGACCACGGTTATGGATGTACCACGTTTGTAAAACAAAACATAATATTTTACAAAATCTTATAACACAAATAAGACTAACGTTACAACTTATAACTATCATAGCATTAAACACAAAATCTAAGTAACGATGTCTTACCTATATTTTTTTTTTATCTCGACACTACCCTAACCCCACCTTACGCCAATAATACGACGCACTGTTTATAGCATATTTAACAAAAAAAAAAAAAAAAAAATACAGGGGTCGGTATCATCTGATCATATTTACGTTTAAAATAAAATTTATAGTAAATTAAATAATTTACAGTTCGAAATAGTGTGTCATACGTGGCCGAAGGTATTATCACGGTTAAATCGCGAGATATAAAATGTTCGTTTAAGGGTTTTCGTGGCATCAATTCTATTACGCGCTTTATCGTGTGCAAGCGTCTGTGTTATAATAATGATGATTTATCGAATGCGCAGCGTCCAGATATACGTTAGGGTGCAATAGGGATTAGAGTCCGGCGGTGTTTTGACCCGATTCATGCGTAAGAGGGCCAATTTTCGGGCATTTAGAATTTTAAAGTATCCGAATAAGCGAAAAACTGCCCTGTTGTTAACATTTAGGTAGGTAGCTATATGTTTTCTGGTTTTCGGTAAGCCAATAAACATTTTACAGGTACAAAAACGAGCAAACTTATTAGTTCGTTTCAAAAAAGTACTAAATTAATTAAGCCATTAAAAAAAAAAAAAACATATCGTTTTGGTTAAGAATTTTACCCGAGCTTATAACACATCTATTGAATTTAAAACATATATTATATTAGGTATGATACCTACTAAAATTTTATATTATGACAGCTCGGGGCTTAATGCATTTAAATATTTGTTTACAAACTAAATAGTAGAAATATGATTCGATACGCATTTTGTTTTTGAAATTCTTATTTATATTAAAACTTATTTAACCATGGTTTACACAATATGGTACAGATGCACGATTGTGTGTTAGAGAGCTGCATCATATGGCGTGTCGTTACTTATATAATTCTCATATGGTTTTATCCGGAAACACGTTATCACGATGTTCAAGCACATATTCAGAAAAAACTCCACACCCATTCGTTGACTATATTTGTAGTTTGTACAATCGTCATAACATAAACTAAATTTACGTTTCAAATGTTTCCAATACGATTTAATTGTTTTTGCTGTGATCTCACCTATTATCAAACTTAAATATATACAATAACAATATTAGCCCTCTCGCATCACTTATTTTTCTATAACATAATTTAAAATCGAGCTTTAAGTATCTATAATACTGCATCTACGTTTAAGTTGTACAATTCGCTATAATATTAGAAAAATTCTCTGTCAAAAGGTATAAAACTGTATACGTTTATTTTTACTTCATTTAGGTAATTGTTTTTTTGTTTTTTTTTTTGCGTTAGATAGAGTTGATGAATAAATGAGTATCATCCTTTTATCACCACAGCAAATAATACAGTTAGGTTTCTTCAATTAGCGTTGGAATATTAAAGGTATACGTGTACGTGAGTGTGTGTTGGGATTGTAACCACCCAGAATGTGAGTTTTATTTTTTGTTAATTCTACGTAATTCGTAGTTGCATAATTTGTACCTATTGAAATTTCAGACATTATACATATTATAACGTACCGTATACATCACCTAAATGTCAAATTGTTCGTAATAAAAATGATTAAACGTGTTTTCACGTCTTTAGACCATACTCTAGCAGGAGTGCACAAACGCGACCATAATAGCCTGTAACGACAATAATCATAATTTTAATTAATTACGAACAACTACAAAGAGATATCATTGCATTGCCAATATTACCTAATTATAAGAAGAATTTCATCGTATTGTTAATAATAATATGATCTTGTTATTTTTTTCCCGATGTGAGTCTATCTAACTGTTATTGTGTATAAGTTATTTATATAATAATATACATTTTTGATGCGTATCAGTTTCACGAGTAAATCGAAACGGAAAGCGAAAATAATTCCGATTGAATGCGTCGTGGAAGTCCGACCCGACGCAAATATACAGAAGTCATTATATAGGTAATATAGTTATATTATTATTACATCGAACATTAAACCTAATACCATGTTACGTGTTCTCCGCGATCGGCACGGCAATAGTATGTCGAGAGATTATTTGCACGTACGTCTGCGTTGTGCCTGTACGTGTATGTTATGAAGTGCCTACGTAAATAGCTCGTTATATTGTTTACACAACAAACGAGATTAAAAAGTTTTGTCTTCACCAATTAAATGAAGCTTTTCCTATAAATTCTTTAGAGGCACTCTTAACCAATCGAGAACGTCAGTAAGTGTGTTGCTTCGCCGAGATTCGTGTAAAGGCCGAAATGTTGGTATAATAAATATAGTTCATGATATTGATACACTATTAATATAAAGACTTACATTGAATTTACTGTGGATATTAAAAAATATAGTTAAAATATATTTCTGATAAACATTTTTTCGTTCTTATAGGGAATATATATTTTTTTAAATTATTGTATACAGAAATTTACAAACCTATATAAATAAAACAACACGACTTATTATAAAATATAATCATTAATTATTTTCAGTTGATAAGATTGGATACATAATGGTAATCTTTAAACACGCCTGCAGGACTTAATCTGTAATTTCAAATAACTAATTCAATTGATGTCCCTCATTTGTATATAAATATAATTACTTTGAGAAAAAATTATAAGTTGTTGTTTTTAATTTTTAAAGCCGTTAAGGTTTCAACAAAACAGGATGTAAAATATATTATTATGATAAGATTATGAAAATATTATGTCGGATTATATTGTGTGTGTTTGAGGTTTACAAACAAAAAAAAATTCTAGTATTCATCGAATACACGATTTCATCAAATTCGAATTGGATTTGGGAAAAAAGTAAAATATTTAGTATATAATATTATAACAAGATGTATTAACATAAATTCTTTTAACATTTTTTTCTGACAGGTGAATAATGTGTTAGAAAATACTTTTACATAATTCTACGATTGAACACGACAAACTGGAAGTGACACACGTCATCCTTTAATAGATAATATTAGAAAGTCGTTTTTCTATGATCACGTATAAATATATTTTTGGTCAATGTAATTTATTTTTTCGTTATTGGTTCCTATTTTATAAATATAATATATTAATGTGTAAATATTTGTACCAACGTATATTTTAATATTTCCAAACACAAACATAGATTCTTTAACTTTTTGGAGAATACAATAATGTTCCACAATATTTAAAAATTATGCCTGTTTTATGTTTTTATCAATATAATCATTATATTATTACATATCAAGTATCGATTACTGTTCAATTATCGAAAATAGGTTATGCATTAAAAACTAATTAAATTGTTACGTATTAACTGTTTTGATAAGAAATAGCTTTCGGTTTTAAATACATGATGGATATATTTTATTTAACTTCAGCCTTAAAAATGTATAGTCATTGCGTATACTTATATGACTATAGTCTATATGATATACGTATATATTATAACAATATTTCATTGAATACAATTTACCAACCGTTTTATGGTAGCAATACAATATATTAATGCTATTAAAAATCGTATTACGATACCAATAACAACACCGGACGAAAAAGTTTTTTATATAATTACTTTCTATGTAAGTAGTTAGTTTTTTCTTCAACTAATATTATTATCATTTTTTAAGTCGTCCTAATCAGTAATGTTGAGTTTCATACATTTTTTTTTTAAATTATAAATATCAAGTTTTGTATTTAATATAACATAATTGATATTTGATGAAATATATTTTTGAAAAGCATTTACATTTTAAAATATATATTTAAATAATTGAATAAAAAATGAAAAGAGGAAATATAAATAGTGAAAATTAATACATTTTAATTTTAATCGACCGTATTCGTGTAAAATAGATATAAAGTGTTTTGAAAAGATTAGAATTTATTTTTGTTAAACACATTGTGTAATTTTTATTAAAATATTTTAGCTCCCAAAGTTTGCAAGTACATCATAATTCTAGGCACTGGCAATACCGTCAAAATTTATTGCAAGTGGGTTTGACTATACCGTTTTCAGGTTTATAGTTTTTGTTAGCTTGATATTACTATTCAGAGTGGTGTTCATCGAGATTTCGAAAAAATAAAAATACGTCGAGGAGAGGATATTACGTATATGGTATGGTGGAAAAATTGACGTACGATAGATCTCCTCCAAAGATGTGTGAACAGGATCGAGCTGGGTTCACGTGTTATATAATATGTTATAAATAAACGGAGGTTAATTTATTACAGATAAGTTGTTTATCTTAAACAATAAATTTTGGACCATGAAAAAGTAAACTCTTGGAGATTTGTACAGACGGTAATTGCGAATAGTCTATAAACAATATGAATGTGCAGACTAAACTAGTAATATATGAGTTTAATAAAATACACATGGTGCACTTATATTTCATTACTAAATAGTCATTTTATCGGTAAGTTTATGAACTTTTAGAAAAAAATACGATTTAAAGATGTAAAAATACAACAATTTTGAAATACATTTTTTTTTTTTTTTTTTTGATTACTGCAATTATCATTAAAAGTTATTTAATTTTTTGAAATGTCAACATAATGTTGTGATATTATTTCAAATGATGTGAAAAAAAAAGTAAAAACAGTTGCATTGTACAGAAAAATGACTGATTAGTGATAAAAAGAATAAAAAACTTTGTATACACAGTTCGTATAGTGTCTATATTATGATCAGCAAAACAATGTACACGAAGACCATTGTTTTTTTCTTAGGCAGACGATGTGTATACAGAATTTATTCTACAATTATTCATATCAAATAAGGCTCAAATAAATATAAAAAAACGGATGATTTAATAGTTAAAAAAATAAAATAAAAATATTGCTTATGTATTATGTGCAATCTATTTAGCCCTTACATTAAATTCCATCAAAGATAAATTATTTAGTGATATATAATATAATTATTTACAAAAAATGAATAGTTTTTATGAAAAAAAAAAATATTTAAAATAAATCTTTATTTAAAAAAGAACATAAATTATCAAGAAACTGTAGTATTTAATTTTCAAAAGTAATTAGCATAATAATTGTTTTCAATTATTTTGGTATTTAATATTAAAATACAAAAACAATATGCTTTAATAAGAATATCTGAAGAAAAAAGTTCAATTATAATATAATATAGTAATTTACATGAATAATTAACTGCAAAAAAATATATGAAATATAATTAAGAACATGTACTAGTATATTCTATATTAAAACGAATTTTGATCGAATTCAGTTTCTTCAAAGGAGTAACAAAATAAAATATAATATATATATAATTACATTTTAAATGCACAGACCTAAAAATGCACAAACCTAACCTAACGTCATGGACCAAAAACCTTTAGTTCCTTTTCGTCTGTAACATTATTATTTTCGTACATAATATTATTCAAGAAACGCTAGTAGACAGTTTTCAGCGGAAATTCAATCGAAACGAAATAACGATATCTTATAGCAATTTTACCACAATAGAACATTAGTAACAACAACCACTTACGGTTTTGTGCACAAACTAGGCGTAAGCACTTTTGTCGCACCAGTGCAACATGAGTGGACCACAACCAATATGCCACGGCGCCGTTTATTTATCGAGCATAGAACTACAAGACTACACCACAACTCATAATATTGATTAGTTTTGAGACATAACAACTATGGATAAAACAATACATTCGGTCCGTATAAGACTAATTTTATAGAATACAAGAATGGTTTATTAAATGCGATTATTTGTTTGTTATAAGTGTCACTATAATTAGTAATTAATTTGTTAATTTTTAGCTAATTAATGTTAATGCAAAAGAGTCACAAAACAATACTTGCCTTAAGGTAATTTTAATTTATCTAAGAAGTCGCAGAAGATTAAATACAAGACTGCCTTCTTTCGGTATGAGTTATTTTTACGTGGAATAAAAACTAATTTTCGTGTAATGTGTAAGAGAAATACTGTATTTAGGCTTAAGAGTTATACAGCAGTATTCCAATTGTAATATTTGTAGTTATTGCAACTACTTATTTATATATATAACATAAAAATATGCGATAATTTTAGTAAAAATATCTTAAAATAAGGCAGTTCAGTATTTACTTAAATATTTGTATAAGGCTGAGAATTACATTTTTTTTGGTTTTAAAAAGTATTTCATAATTTTTGAAAAGTCTTATTTTAATTTATGTTATAAGTATTTAAGTAATTTTTAATGCGTAAATAAAATATCCTTTTTAATATTATTATATTCAAATTTCAATTTGATCTTTTTTTTTCCAAAACTTTATGCCTCGAGTTTATGTGGTGATGTTGAGTGTGAATTTGTAAATATCGATGTTATTTTTTGATAGTATGATTTAGTTTTTTAAAGTTATTGACACAATATCAGAAAAAAAATGAATAAATAGTGGGATATTGGTATCACTTTATAACCAATACAATATAGTCAGTGAAATTATTGAAATATGTCAATTTCAAATTGAAAAAGCGTTTCTTGTTCTTTTTTTTTACGTCTAACAGAAACTTTATGCGTTTTGTTAATTTTTCAGCCCCACCGAACATTTTGGCGAAAATATGGCAAAGAACATATTCCGAAAGGCCATGGACTTGGGACGGAGTAAAAAGAGCATGGAGGCGTGTCATACAGAGTATAAAAAATGCAGATTCAACACAAGACAAATGTTTAAATTATTCAGTTCGTTCATGTGACCCGGATTCATCGTTCTGCGCCCGTTTGTTTTTTACCGATTCGATACGAGCCTGTAAATTATGTGCCAAATACGTGTATTATTACTACTATTATTATTATTATTATTATTATTATTATTTTAATTTTTAAAATTAATATTATTATTTTTTATTATTAATTAATTGATTAGCTGTTTGTAATATGTAATTATATTATGTGCATATAATTAGCAAAGTTGGACCAATTAGTCATTGTTGTTTACTTAACAAAATTGAGTTAATCATTAAAAAATACCAATAAAATTACTATACCTATTACATTTAAAATGTTTTCAATATAGATGATTTGGAAATTAGTTGAGATCACTGACTATTTACACTAAATAAAAGTATAATTATGTGTAACTCAATATAAGCATAAAAAATAAAAATTTGTAAATAAGAAAACTATCCATTAAATTACTAAACTACTCATTTGTTAATAATGTAACTAAAAAACTGAAATTTTTTTTTTTCATTTTTAACGCATTTATTCGCAGTTAAATCTATTATAGTACAAAGTGAAGTTAGAAAATTACTTAAGAGTTAATCTTACTGATCAAGTCGTAAAGCTATAAATAAAAATAACTATCTAATTAGTAAGTACTTACAACTTTTAACATTGATTGTATACTTTATGTACGTATAATTGTAATAAATCGTCATTGTTATTGTTAATTTTTTACTATATTGTTGTATTATTATCGTTATAATTAACGTGATACCATATACTTAGCATACAATAAATAAATAAAAGTGTGAAAAATTGGACGTTGTATTAAAATAAATATCAATAAACGTATGTATGGTTTTCGAGATAAATTCAGATTTTGTTGTGGGATAACTGGATCAATATGATTTTCCGTTTTTGGGCATTAATTATTTCAATCGAATACTCATTAACTTCTAGTTTCATAATTTAATGGTATTGATGTGTTTATTGTAATTGGCACATTTTATATCATAATAGTATGTACCAACAAAATTGACGTACATATTATAATCATAATATTATTTTCATTTTATTCGTCAAAATTACATGCCGTATAACATTTCATTACATTATTTTTGACTTTGATTATAATACAATCAGTTATTTTGACAAGTCAAATTTTCACACCAATGTATTTTTGTTAAATTTCTATTAAAAAAAAAATGTCATATTATACACGACCAAACGAATATTTTTAGTTTTCAAACCAATCGGATAACACAGGTAATACATTATAACATATTACACGATATGTATTATTATTATTATTATTATTATTATTATTATTATTTTGTTGTTGTGTTAAACAATGTTTGTATACATACGCACGCATAATATTACAGCCGGCGTCTTGTAATATTATATTTAGCATATTATATTGCCGTTGAATAAAATACCATTTTACGAATATGTATGCGTACTTTGTGTACAAAGCTAAATTGTCGTTATAGTCCTTTGATTCGCGTTCGTATTTGCGTAGGTACATCAAACATGCATACACGGTAGTTATATGACTAGGTACACACAAAAAAAAATAAAAAATAAAAATACGCACACGTATGACATAATAGTAAGTATACAGTTATATTGCTCGCCGTGAGTTTGAGGAAATTCAATTTTTGTTTTTAAATATTTCGATGATGTTTTGCCCCGACGTTAATCGGCAAAAACACCAAATTTTAAACCACTGCACAACGCAGTATACACTATATACTATACCAGCGCTGTATACTTCGTACTCGCGCGAAATGTCTTGTACACGTAAATGTGTTTACATCTTAAAGAAAATAAAAATAAAATTCTATTGTTCTATACGCTACTGTAAAGTTTATGTTATTTTAATTGTAGTGAACGCTGCCAGCAATTCAATTATTATTTGTACGGCAAAGTGAATTAATTGCCTTAGAAAATTTTCACCAGTTGAAATAAAAATAGTTGTTTATCAAACAAAACCAAAAATTGTAATTAATGTAACAAGGCTTTGACACAAATGTGTTCGAGACCAACGGCTTTGGTATAATAATATATGCAAATGCTGTACTCTACGGAATCCCTTATAATATTATGTTATTATGCTGTCCTCGTTTCTTTTTTCCTAGACCAGAGATTCTACAATTTGGCCAATGCCCTTGTAGATGTTTTTCGTACGTGAATGTTGTTTTCGTATTTGCGAATAGACGTATACATTATTATTATTATATTATAAAGTTTTAGTAGTGTTTGGGTAGTTATAATATAAGATAAATTATTAAGGTTATCCGTAACGCCTCTTTAAAAATAAATAATTGATATATGTATTGTTGAGTTTAATATATATATATATAAATGTACATAGTAATAAATTATACCATTTATTTAAATTCTTAATTACATTAAGTCGCAAGTACTTGGCTAACATTTGGTGTGACCTCTCAAGATTTCCGTCTATTTGTATTCAGAATATAAAGGATCAGTATTAATTTTATTTATCTTTTACAATACGCAAACCTTAGAAAAAGTTTTAGTATGAAAATAACTCAATATTGTCTTATCATATTTTGTGCAACACAATCAAAACCGTGCTATTCTTAATTTTTAAATCTATTCTTAGAAATCCTTGGTTTCTGAAGAAGAAACATTCGTGGACTGAATAATATACTTAAATCCGTGATGTGAGTTTCTATATGTTCGTTATATTATATTGCTAAATTTCTATTGTATGTTGTGTGTAGTGTGTGAGTAAAATAATTTTATGAGTTTACAATAAAATATTTAGAAAATATTTCCGGTTTTACATAACTTTTATTAATTACAAACTACCTAATATCTTACAGCGGGTTTTAGTACGCAGACCACTACAAAACTAATGTCCGTCGATGGTTACATCCCCGCGATTACTTAGTAATTTTCTAGTCTTAAAGATTTTTTGCGTTACATATAGTTATTTTGTGTTAAACAAAGAATTAAGTTGAATTTTTTTTTTTTTTATAAATTAACAATACATGTTTTATTTATTTAAAATGATCTATCGTTTTCACAAAGTTTAAAACCGTTGCGAACATGTTCCGTCGTTTAAATATATGTAATTATATATGTGAATGAGCACCAAGTCAAGCATAATGATGTACGGAAAAAATATTCAGTTGAATTGATCATTTTTAAAGTTATTTCAACTTAAAATTCTAGTTATATTATGTGATTACTAGATAGTTAGTTGATGTCACTAAATAAATTTAATTAAATTTATTGTAATTTTAAAAATAATTATGTAAGTAGGTAGTTAGATCAACTAATTTTTTAGTTGTTACAACAATTACTTGTGATTGAAATTTTTGTAATATTAAACAAAAATGCGGGGTAGGTCAACCAATTTTTAGTGGTTACACCTATTTTTTAGTTGAATATACCGCTATATTTTAGTAACTAAATATTTTTGTTAAGTACTTATTAACTAACTATCAATAAAATGTTTTTTAACAATTGTAATTTAAATAATAATCAATCATTACATATATACCTTTAAATTTGTCGAGTTTTCATTATTTTAATTTCAGTATAGTAAACTCGTCCGTCTGTTAAAATAATATATTTTATTGTATAGGTAATACCAAAATTATGCTTACTATTACCATATAGATAACTATTAAAAGCTAATGCTATTCAGCACTATGATACTATGATACTAGCCGATCCGCCCCGGCTTCGCACGAGTGCAACGCTGATACTAAATACTACAGAACGTCTTTATATTATACGTACAACGTTCACAGTTTTTTTGTCATTAGATCGTTAACCGTAATATCTGACGTAAGTTATTGCGTCCTGCGATTTTTCATGTAAATATATCGAGGTCCACCTGTAAATGATGAAGGTAGTATAAACAACTGGTTAATGCTAATGTTCATTCACTTGTAAAACATCTTGAAGGTGAACGTAATTTTTTGTTCTAAATTTAAGTTTGATTATTACGGATGTAAGCCAATCTCTCAGATTCAATTTTCGCACATAGATCGACCAAGTATGGGTTTGCTAAAGATCCATGTCTAAGGAAAGGATTGAAATTGTTACATCTTGTCGTCTTGTCAATATACGGTAACAATAGTAGTTCATTCATGACACTTACGCAGAAGTGCACCATTGATTGGGTCAACTTGAGAAACATTAATGGCATAACCATCTTCTCCGTGACATGGCATCAAAAGGTATTGTAATCTGTCATAAGATTTATTTAACTCTGAAATTATTTGTAAATTATCATCACAACTTTGTAACAACATTTCTCTTTTGTCAAATTGCTGTCCAGCTATCACTACTGCTACTTTACTCGTAGAAGTCCTCTGTGATCTCCATCAGGAAACTTTATTTGCATGGATTACGACATTAAAGTCAGGATAGTATCTACAATTATATTTATTTAAATTATTACTTTATTTTTTCATTATTATTTATTAGTGATAAAGAATTACTTTTAAAAGTATTAGTCGTAAAAAAAAATCTATTTTTGATTTTGATTTATTATATTTTGTTGATTTTATTTTATTTTTTTCCCTAACTGAACATCATTCAAGTGCTCTTGGAACCTTTTTTGGTGCCCTTGTAATTCAATAATACTATGAAAATCAACTCCTACAACTCACAAGTCAATATTAAGTATAAATTATACACAAAATGTAAGTTTATTGTAGTGGAATTAGCAAAAATTAATTCAGCTATGAAATCTTGAGTTAAATTTTAAGTATTTTTACTTATTTTGACAGAGAAAAAGAAACATATATTATCGTAAGATAAAATTATATACATAAAATAACTTCATCGCTCTGCTGAGAATCTAAAATTAAAAATATTGTTTTGCATTTAGTCTAGTAGTTTATGTTTATTTTAAGAAAAACTTTACGTAGAAAAAAAACAATAATGTCAAAATGTCAAAATCTTAATAAAGAGGACCTAAAAATACTATACTACGACGTGAGTACCTATAGTCAGAGCCTTTTAATTGTGAGTTTATTTTTTCACTTAGAACGTTTTTGTTCTTGATTAAATATTTTATGTTTCTCGGAAAACAAAATCCAGTCGAACAAAAAAAAAAAAAATATGTCGTAATTTGTGATATTAAAATACAAAAAAATATGACGGTACAATTATTTGCAGAATTTTAATCTTGTTTAAAATGTACAGTATTTATTAATACTTACAGGTATCATATTAATATTATTGAACGGCTAAAAGTTGACACTATTGATATAAAATAGTAATTTTGGGTTTTCACAAATTGATTTTATCATGTAAG